CTTGTACAGATGCTTCTCCAATGTATGGTTATTTAACTAGGGAGAAATTCCTATGGATGGTCTGTCTGTCTGTCTGTTTTTGACATAGAACTTTGCACCGATGTGCAGTTACCACTCTCCCTCCGTGCAGCACACAAACCAACAGAAGAAAGTAGAAGAAATGCATATTAGAGACAGTAAGCATAGGTATGAGACAAAGGAATAGTAATAGCGAAGAACAATATAGTTTCATTGGAAAACATAAGTCACAAGGAGTGGATGCATCTGTGCTAGCCATTGAAAACGATTTTGAGCTAACCATATCACCAATTGTTTCCAGTAATTGCCATTGGTTTTTACTGTCCCTAGGACCCCAAACAGCCAAGCAGTTCACACCTTCCTACGTGACTGGTTTAAACTAACTGTTGTGGATTTCACCATGGATGGTTGCAAAAGTGGTGTCTATCGTGGTCTAGTAGATAATGCTCTGGCGTTTAAAACGATGCGTATATATATAATCTGATGCTCACTGGTGACTGGTTACAGGACGAAGTTGCCCGGAGTTAGTTCTAGTGAGAAGTTGTGATCAGTGGGGTCCATCCAGCCAGGAGTGAGGATAGATTTCCCACCGTTGACATTGGCTGGTGCCACTCGCTCTAAATGCATCACAAATTAGTAGAAGTTAGAATTCATGGGCTGTCTGGGCGTTGAATCAGATCCCAATGGTTGAATGGTATACGAGCAAGCCTGCCTTGTAACCGGAAAGTCGTGAGTTCGAACCGCGATGGTGGGTGCGCACTGCCGACGAGTCATAGATGTCTGCGATCTCTGTCTCACGTTAGGTGGTTTAATAAGGTAAGTAATGTTGACGTCAGGCGTAGAGTGTTGGGCAAAGAGGGAAAATCAATCGACGAGGCTATAAAGTTACATAGACTGAGATGGCTAGGTCACGTGCCTAACGCGAATGCCTAACCACCGCCTCCCCCGACGGGCATTGCTAGCTGATATAGGTGGTGCGGGTTGGAAAAGAGCCAGTGGTGGCCAAACAAAAACATGGCCTCATCAATCCATGAAATCCTTGACAGTTAAACCGAGTCGGTCAGGTAGGGAGATTCAGACTCCCGCGTTGGGGCCCTCGGGACTCTAGGAATCAATGGCTGTGGAGACAATAGGTGACATGGCTCAAAATCGTTGTCAATGGCCAGCCCAAATGTATTCAGTCTCTGTAATCTTTCATATTCCTTTCTACCATTACCCATTCTATTTCACTCTTATACTTGTCAAACTCTATTGATTCTCTTCACTCATCTTCTTGTCTACCTCTGTGTGCTATTTGGAAGGTGGCAACTCGAACTGGTGCACTTCGGTGCCAAGTTCTATGTTGAATCCAGACAGACAGACTCTTCATAAGCCCTTATAAGACTGGTTCAGTGTGATTAGATTGCCTTGACTGGTATCGTATACTTTTTCAGTACTCCTTTCACAGTTAGACATAGCTAGAAAGTGTTTCATTCGACAGAATCAAATGCCATCTTTAGGCAAACAAACACCAGTTTTCCTGTGTTCTAAAACCTGTCCGAACCTGAAGGCTACGTAATACTTTTGGATTTGTCTTTATGCAGCTTAACCTAGTCTTTGGAGGACTATGAAACTTAAAGTGTTAGATGCTATGTTTGTCAAGCTTACCTTCTTGTGACTTTGTGTAAAAGAAGAATTTTTTTCCTTTCCTATTAACCGGTATTACGAATAATTTACACCGTTTCGCTGAAGTCAACTGGGAGTCCAGTATACTGGCTAACATCATCAATGAATACTTTTCAAGTCACACTGTTAGCTACCACTGTCTTTGAAGCCTAAGTATCAACTGAAAGACCAACATTCTGATTGCATTTAGGTGACAGTTGAATAGTGGGCAGCTGTAATGTGGCTGTAAGCCAATATAACTGCTCCCCAACATGCACTACTCAAAGTTCCTGTCAAATGTCATCAACAGCCTCTTTACCTAGTAAGCCTGAATAAAACTATTTTTCTCCACAGTGGACTGGTTTCGATGCCAGGCTTTCTTATGATGAGTTCTGCTGTCATTTAGAAGTATGTGTTTAGTTATCTCCCTGCTAAATTCAAAATTCATGTTCTCAACAAAATGCTAGATATGTAAAGGCTCCGTGAATACTTGTCTTATATGTATACTAAGATCAATTTATGTAGGATTCAAGCATTGAATCAACGTTGTTTTTACACGCAGCTAGCATATTAGAAAGGGTTTAAACAATGATTTCTTAATTTTATTCCTTTACCTTCCAAGTGGAACATATGTCTTCAAACAGCTGAACTTTGAAGTTTTGATATTGGTGGTTTTACTTTTAGGAGTTGGGGTTGCTAGCCTTACTTCCGATCTTCCCTCTTTACCTAGCTTACTACGGGTCTGGCGAGGTTTAAGAGTGTGTGGGCCAACAGGTTGTCAAACCCTTGACCATATTGGGTGTGGTTAGCGAGAGTATCACCGGCGAACTATAGAGGCTAAAAACCAGGAAGTATTGGGCAGCCCTTTCGTCCTCATTTGAAACTCACTGGCAATACCCACCCACTGCAGTTCGAACCCAGGACCTCCTGGTTATAAGGAAAGCTCGTAGACCATTCAGTCACTGTGACCTTCAAAAAAGAAGCCTGAATAAATTAAGGAACTCTAAAACGCCTCTTACAGTGAAGGGTTAGATGGTTATATATATATATATATATATATATAGTCTGCAAGGGACAAAGGGTATATGCTCATATTACTGTCCACAGTGAATCAAAATAGTTTCCGTTAATTGGAACTGATGAGTAATGTTGAGTTCAGTACGCTGAATTAATGCGTTAGAACATTTATGAAAGATGATAATATGGACATTTTTGGCGAATAACTAAGGGCAGTGGTCCTATTCTAACCATAAATATTAAAGAAATGCAAACATTACGACAGAAAATAATGAGATTAATGCTAAATACCGTAGTAATGATAAAATAATCATCCAGACAGACAATAGAGTTTTACTGCTTATTAGACGTCAATGGCTCTCCCAACAAGGCAGGGATAGGTTGAACTACAACATTCGCCCTCACATTCTAATGATCAACTCGAAACTCTTCTCCTTGACAGCAGTGCGTAGCGGAGTGCCACAAGTCACGTTACTCGGACCTCTCCTACTTATTTTGTAAATCAATGAGTTATCTCTTCTCGCCTATTCCTCTATGGTTCTATATGCAGATGACTCAGAAATTTGGAGACAGCTGAAGGGCAACAGTGATACGTTCACGTTATAAGAGGACCTCAATAAATTTTCAGGGTGGTCCACAGAATGGATGCTTCCTATCAATGCAGCAAAATGTGTAACCATGCGCATCGGACACGCAAGCATCAGCTTCTACGAACTAGAGAGAATAACACTCCCATCAGTTCAGACACATTCAGATTTAGGTGTCATGGTAAGTCACGACTTATAAACTACACCACATTGTCACGTGTTGGCAGCACGTAGTTTCAAATCTTTATGGGAATCTGCAGAGCCTTTACCTCTTTATATACACCTCTGGTGAGTTGAAGACTGGAAAACTGTATCCAGTCAGTCATTCCATGTCTTATAGGGGACTCACGTATTCTAGAAAGAGTTCAAAGAAAGGTAACACGTATAATTCTCGGTACGGCTAACTTGTTATACTAGGAAAGATTGAACAGTTTAAATCTCTTCCCCCTGTTATACCTTAAACAGAAAGGAGATTTAATCACAGCAGGTTGGAACACCTTAGATGACATATCAAAACAGTTCAAAAGCCAAGAAGAAATCATATTGCTGTTAAGTACTGGTTGTCACACTAAGTTACAAACTCTTGGAACTGACTCCAAGAAGAAGTGGTGTCTGCAACCTCAACTGATTCATTCAAGAAGGGTTTGGACGAACAAAGAAATTTAGTAAAAAACGATTAACATAGGCTTCAAACCTTCTATCTTCAACCAATAAATTTAAGTCTGAATCTGATACCTGGTGTTGTTTATAGTGATATCCTTCGTGCTTCAACGAAATCTTCCAAACTAAATCCACTTCCTAGGGAGCAGACAGCTGTATATATATATATATATATATATATATATATATATATATATATATATATATAATACAAAATGTAATCCACATTAAACTTCTAGGGCAGTTTAACGTAATAACTTTGGAGGGACTACTGCGAGACGCATCAAAATCTCGGTAGTCTCCTCATACCTAAACTTCTCTTCAAAAACGCCGATATTATTAACTAAAATCCCATCCTTTTCGGTAAAAGCAGCTCTTTTGTCTTATCATTAAACTCTGACTTCTTATCAAAGCGTGTTTTCTTTTGCCATTTGGAAATTGTAGGCATTTTGTAGCGTTTCGCTGCGAACAAGTCTGAAAATAATTAATTTAATTGATTAAAAATCCGTCTAAAAATTTATTAATTTGTGTTTATATATTTCAGCGATCTATCTTCCAGAAAAACAGTTCAAATCAATAGCCATTACACTGCGATAGAGTTTAACTATAATAATAATGTATATTCTCATATAAACATATAAATTTACATGAAAATGCATGCCATTTTTACAGGCACGATCAAGTATGATATAATATCAAATCGTAGATTGTCTACAAGTTAATAATGTTTCAATCCCAGCTAGCATTTTGTTCGGGCGCATTGCAGACTTTTTGGGGCAGACTTCGGGCGCATTGCAGACTTTTGGGCAGACTTGGGCAGATTGCAGACTTTTAGGGACAGACTTAGGGCAAATTGCAGACTTTTTGGGGCAGACTTCGGGACACTGTCCCACGTAAGTAGATCTACCCGAAGTTTTTGCCCCAAAACGTCTGCAATTCGCCCGAAAAAAATGCTAGCTGGGAATGACTCAATTTTCAGACATTTTTATGAGACCGAATTGCTGTATCTACATAGACAGTGAGACATAGGATACAAAAATAGAATTCTAATTGATATCAAACAATATATCTTACGCATGTGTATATCTGTCCGTATGTACGAATAAACATTACAATATTTATTCGGCCCGCATCAAAGTACAACTTGGTTGTAAAATTTGCTAGCGTGATAAAAGCAAAACAATTTTCTGTTGCACTTAAGGATCTGAATCTATCACTTGACCGGAATCGTTACACGTTATTACGTTTATGAAACTACTTCTGCGAGTGAAAAGATATTATTACGGAATCAAGTATCACTAGCACTCATTGTTGCCGGCAATAACGAAGTTGGAAAGACAATGAGAAAACCTCAGAAGTTCACTCCCCCTAAATCACCACAAACCACCCACTTCTTTCTCATATAAAATTCATCATATGATAACTTGAATAAATATTCCTTTAATGCTACCGTTTTAAGGATATCTACAGTTTCTATGATCACTTCAGTGTAATTTCCACTGTACCAAGATAAACCTAGGACTAAAATAAACAGACTGGACTTATTTCACTGGACAAAGCCCGTATGTGAATAGTCGAAACTGCTTAAGTTTTACTTTGACGGGTTCGCATGCGACGGGATCGGGCGCTAATTACTTCTACCTACTTGTTTCGGTAATAAGCAGATTCTCAGGGACCATAGATTAATAATAATAATGTATATTCTCATATAAACATATAAATTTACATGAAAATGCATGCCATTTTTACAGGCACGATCAAATATGACAAATTCCTACAGTCCTTAACATTAGCGTTTGATTTATTCAAATATGTTTCTTGTTACAGCATATTTCCAAATAAAGAGCCTTCCAAGTGTTTTCTTATTAGTACTTTCGAATTAGATAAGGGACCAAATACCTCCGTACCAGGATGCATTGTGATTGGTAACGGTGACATATTGTGGCATAAAAATCACAACCAAAAACTTTAAACTCTACTGCTCCATTCGGCTGCAGTATTTGGTCCAAATTATTACGAATTTAATTCCTAAATTCCTGTAACCAGGTAGTACCTCTTAAAGAGCATATTTATATTTAATCAAAGACATTTGGCGGATACGTTTATCACGGGTTGTCAATGCAAGTGAAAACTGAACGTTTGTTTTTGGAACTAGTAGCCATTGGTGGGCAACTCGAAGGCGCGAATGGTTCGACTGTGTACAAATTTGAAGAGGACGACCAAAAACGAATAAAAGCACTCCATAATTTCGTCTAAAATATTTGTTTATAGACTTTCACTGCTCTCAGCTTTAACTGCCAAACAATATAACTTCCTTCTTACAATACTGGAACTTCCGGGATTACTTGCTGGGTCTGCAGCCAGCATCTCTTCGGACATGGATTATGAACGCAATTTGGATTCTTTGGTGACGTTGGATAATGCCTGGGTCAAGAGAGGGACTTGGCACCATGGAAGTAGATAAAAAAGTAAGTAACGATGAGTTGCATGTTAATTTTAATGAAATGCATGATGCTCAGCATGATGAGTCTGATGTTCACGCTTTGCCGTTTAGGGATAGTAATACTTTAAGATTCCCCAAGTTTGAACCTCGGTACTTTGATGGAAACCCATCCGACTACCCACAGTTTATTAAGGAGTTTGAGGTCATGTTGAGTGGTTTTGTTTTAGGTGACGAAATGAAGTTAATGTATTTGATGAGGTAACGCACTGGAGTTGCTTCAAGAGCTATACAGTTCTGTAAGTTCATGCCCCCTAACGAAGGATACAGAGAGGCCATGAGGATATTACGTCAAAGGATTGGAAGACCTATAATTGTAAGGAATGTATTCGAGGCAGTTAAGGTAGTGGTAGTCAACTACGAGATGACTATGAGGCACTCACTGAGTTTCTGGATAATCTGATGACCTACAAGAATACGTTGATTTCGATGAATTGCATGAGCGATCTGAACTCAAGTTCCGTCCTAGAGGTAATAGCTAGACGCCTACCTTCTCGGCTGCAGAGGAAGCGGGTGAAGATAAGCTCTTGTATAGAGGACGAAGGTTCAGAGGCATGCTTCGATGATGTACTGAGATTAGAGACGGATAATGTAAATCAGCCTATGAGTAAGTTCGCCAGAATATTGCATCCGGCTTCTGAAAATGAGAGGTCAGCGAGCTAAACGCAATCATTTATGACGAAAGGGTCTCACAGAAGTGGATATTGAGAAAGCTTTATGGTGCCTAGTAATCCGTACAAACCTAATAAGTGCGACACCATTCATGGAACGTCCCCAACAGATAGGTCACAGGCTGCAAGGCAAACACGGTCGTGTCTTGTTAGATTGCAAGAAGCGCACACAAAGGCGAACTGTGAAGAAGTGACCAAGGTTAGTAGCAAGATAAATGTGAAGTTAATGTCATGGAGTTCTGACCCGGAATTGTGTTACGATAATGGTGCAGTGAAGAAGCCTGTGGTTGCATCCGGTAAGCCATTGTTGAATGGAGTGTCACAGACGACACCGCAGTTTGTGCAGAAGAAGGGAGTTACAGTTTCAGAGCTCACTTCTGACTCAACAGCTTTACAGGGTATTACTGGTAAGAGTATAGGTATAAAACCTTTAAGTATTTGCGAGAAAGAACCCAAATCACCTACCGCTGTTATTAAAGAGTTTGAAAATGATGAAGTTGATCATACAAACGGCAGTAAAGTGGATACTTGTGACAATGATCATGATAGTGCACATTTGTCTTTGGTTGATCATGATGAGATGAGGGGAATGCCTACTACTGCTGAGTTGAACAAAAGTTCTGTACAAATTAAACGTGAAATACAATTAAACGCAGATGCAGTTGCAGAAGGTATGGATACTTGTGAGGCCGTCAGTGTAACTGATCAGCGTGTAGCCCACCTATCATCAGATGCAAGTGCTAAACCGGAGCTAATACTAAAAGACAGCAGTGGTGGTAGTCTTGCAGTTCGACAACTTTCTGAAAGCCGAACAAAAACAGCTTCTGAGACACCGCTAAGTTCATCAACTGGTATCAACCAGTCGTCATCGGTGTTGGCATCCACAATGAAAGAGATGTCCATGAACTCAGGTGCATTATGCTATGACTATGTCAGTATCGCTCCGTTTGAAAGGAAGAAAGTCAGTGGTCAGTTTAGTGATGATTAGCCAAGTGTGTACGAGAGGGTGGTTGTTAAATTGATTTGCATGAATAAAGCCCTTTCAAGTTTCAGGTTACTATTTGAATGTTATTATCTTTGGTGTAAATTACTCTGTTTCTACGCTTGGTTGATGAGATATGTCGTGTGTTTGTTGGTCATCTATATTCTACGATACAATGACATGGGAGTGTTGCCGTTCAGATTTGAGGATATAGCTCATAGAAGGAAGTTAGCAAATGAACTCTGCGACGATTTTCCAACCTAGAGCGTCAACCTGAGAAGGGTTGTAGGCGTACTGCTGTACGTCCTACCACTCTTCAAGGGTAATACGTCGAAGTGCAGTCCATCTGGCTTGGTGTGTTGTTTTGTACATATTTTCATATTGTATATACTGAATTGGTATCATCTCTCATCTATCCGTTGATAATTCTGTTTGTGTCCGGACGACTTCCACTTGGATCATCAACCTGAGAAGGAATGTAGGCGTACTGCTGTAAGTCCTACAGTTCTTCAAGGGTAGTTCCTCAAGTCAGAATCCACAACATTTGATGTATTGATCGTACATATGTTTGTGTTGAGTAATTGAGTGGGTTCCGATTAATGTAATTGTTGGTTAATCTTGTTTGTGTCCGGACATTCTTCAACCTACAATCGTCACACGGAGAAATGTTGCAGGCGTACTGGTGTAAGTCCTGCAATTCTTCAAAGGAATTCCATCGAGACACGATCTGCGAGGTTATGTGTACTGTTTGTATATATGTATGGTGTGTCAATGGAGTTGAAGATTGAACGATCAATTCTTGGTTGTTTGCTCAAAATCAACTTCCTCGATTTTCGCGGAGGCATCAATACGACAGTCATCGTCTCATCGGTCGCTGTTCAGAAAGAAGATTGAAACATCGTCAGAAGTAATACAGAGATTTATTATTGTAATATTTGTTTTCAGACCTTAGTTTTCTTAGTTTGCTTAGTGATACTTGATTTATATGCTGGTGTAACAATACATAATACTCAAGTCAACAATTGGTGTTTTGGTTTTTTCGTCCGTCGTTACTAAGCGTTTCTGAGAAATCTTCTAAGAACAGCGTGGGCCCGAGCGTAGCGAGAGCTGGGCATTAACGGTTTATGAGACGTGATTGACAGTTTCTGACGATGGAAACAGATCTGGCGGATTCAAACAGTTGGTGAAAGTTTGGATAGTCGCCGTTCATTTCTCCTGGTGCCGGTCAAGTCCTCTTTGAACAAGCAATATCTGGAACTTTTTGGAATTGGGTCAAGTTCAACAATGCCTGGGTCAAAGAAGGGACAGAGTGTCTTGGATGCAAACAGGAAAGTAAGTCATGGTGACTTGTCTGTTAATTGTAACGATGTGTCTGATGTTAAACATGATATGGTTGATGTTACTGTTTCGCCGTTCAGGGATAATAGGAACATCAAACTCCCTAAATTTGAACCACGATGTTTTGATGGAAACCCGGCTGATTATTTACAATTTGTAAAGGAGTTTGAGATCATGTTGAGTGGTTTTTATTAAATGATGAATTGAAGTTAATGTATTTGATGAGATATTGCACTGGAGATGCTGCAAGAGCTATACAGTGTTGTAAGTTTATGAAGCCAAAAGAGGGCTACTACGAGGCTATGAGCATATTACGTCAAAGGTTTGGAAGACCCTCGATGATTGCAGGGAAATTATTCGAGGCTGTTAAGGGTAATGGTGGTCAGTTACAGGATGACTCCCAGGCACTCACTGAGTTTTTAGATAATTTGCTAATTTACAAGAATGGAATGATTTCGATGAATCGAATGAGTGACCTCAACTCGAGTTTTATACTAGAAGTAATAGCAAGACGTCTACCTACCCGACTGCAAAGGAAGTGGGTGAAGATAAGCTCCCGTATGGAGGATGAGGGTATCGAGCCAAAGTTTGATGATATCCTGAAACTGGTAAATACTAG